AGGCTTTGAATTGAGATCCTCCAGGCCTCAGCCTCCTGAGTAGCTAGGATAACAGGTACAAACCTTCAGCACCTTGCTGACAATTTTTTTATTTTATTTTTTATTTTTTTCTGACAATTTCTTAATATTACATGTGCTCTTCACTTCTTCCTAATCTTGTCAGAATAATTCACAATTGAATTATTCAGATTTGAGTATGGAGTTTTGTTTGCAATATGACAAATTCAGCTGTTCAGGAGCAACTTTTATTTTTCTGTAACAGAGAAAGGGGATTGATTCAACAGTTCATTTTGTTATACAAATCTGAGTAATGACCAAAGGGAAAACTTTAGGTTCCAGATCTGTGGACATCTTGGAAGTGAGTTTAGGGACAAGAAATCCACATATTAGGGGTCCCTTGGAATACATCTGAAAAAAGTAATGACAAACATTAATAGCCTGAGTTGAGTTTTTTATCCCCCACACACCACCACAGATAAGAGCATTCTATTATATCAGTTGTAGCATGGATAGGGTTGATGCTTTTAATGTAATTTCTTTAGCTACTTGGATCAAAATAGTCATGATCAACACAGATTCTGGGCTTTTCATCATAATCATATCTAAATGCACTAACAAGAAGCCCACAAGGAATAGCACGTAACACAAAGGAACATGAGCTATTTTAATATGAAATGACAAGACAAAATAGGGAAATGGTACTGGGACTGACAAGCACAATGCCATGAGATGTACATTTTCACAGGTGGAATTATCATTGAACAGCATTTTCCTCTTCACAATTTTCTTCAGTTCTTGAAACGGTCCTGAGATTAGTTCCTGTAGGAGGGGCAGATGAATTGCAGGCCCTGTCATTTGTTTTTGTGGCTGCTGAATCTGGAGCACTGACAAAGGCTCTCAGGAGATTAGTAGTTACTGACAGCTTGCCTAGGACTGAGATGGTTTTTGTCCTGACACAGTTAGCATCTGATTTTAGATTATTAACTTAAGATTATTACCAGCTCCATAGATCAACCATGGATAAACCAGCAGAAAAAAAGGGTGCCTTTTAAAATTCCTTCACGAGAGAGATTTTACGTTTTTACAGAACTGTAAAAGCAAGTCGCTATTATGCTGTCACAGGAGTGTCTGTTCTTAGACATCCTACCTTAGAAAAGGTGAGGTTCAAGTGTTCAACTGATACTGCTTCTCCTAATGAGCTAATGAGCATGATTACCACTCTAGAATTATTTTTACTTAAATGTATCCAGAATTCATGTGGGCTAAGGTTATGGGCTTCTGTGAAGAGAACATTAGTAACGATCTAGACTTAGATCAGGTTGGATATCTCAGGATTTCTGGCCATCTTTCCTTTTTACTGAGTATGAAAAGAAGAGGACCTTTTGAAAGAGTATTTCAGTATTCTTTTGGCTAAGCTCAATTGCTTTAAGACTACATTCAAGACACACTAGCCTTGTGTCTAATCATAGAAATACTAGATAAGAGCTGAAGGTTTCATCCCACCATTAATATGTTGGCCCCAGGGGCATGAATCATCTAGGTCACTTGCTGGATTTTGTCTTTGTCAGATGTTGGGGCCACAGTGTTCAGCATCTAATTGGGTGTCTCAAAAGTCAGGGAGTTCTCAATGTTGACATTCCTCTTTCCAGGTACTAAGATTTCACTATAATTAAGTGATTAGGTTGAGGCAACCACTTAACCACTAGAGAAAAAGTTACCCATTTTTCCCGAGAGGCTCTTCTTTCTTTCCTGAAGCACACACACAATATACGTAAGTCCCTCAGGACAGATCTCCTTTCTCAGGGACAAAGCTCCCACAGCAGCTCTTCTCCCTCCCAAATTAGCATCAAAAGTACCAGAGTTACATGGAGAACTCAGACTCCAGGTCTCCAGCAGACAAGCTAGAGTGCAGGAAATGAGACTGTGCCAAGTGACCTCTGGCTCCATGGTGGCACTGGAAATTTGGTGTTTGATAGTCTAGGTTCTTTCTCATGGATGCTTGGATCCAATGTTGCTTCTTCTTTCCATCTGGAGAATGTCTTAAGGCCAGGCATATAGACAAAGAGTTTGGAAAGAGGAGGGTGGAAACGCCACTGTTCTAGCTCTGTTGGGTCTATTAGAATTCTGCCTCCAGCCAGCAAGGACACTGAGTGATGGCAACGCCTGTGGACAAACTCTCTAGCCATTGGTCATCCTGGACATTCCTCTCATTGTGCTAGCCTATGGGATGAGGGGCTATGGCTATCCTGCTGTTAGATCTAGATACTAGGAGAAAGTCCTGTTTCTCATCACCCACCTGTGTACATTTCCTTTGCATCTGTTTTTACAGCAAGCCTTAAGCCTATTGTGGGTGTAACAACACGGACCCAGAATGTTTGACCAAATCTGTTGATCTGCACACTTGGTTAGTGAGGTAGGTGATGTGTCATGTCCTATCACAGAGGACAGTAAGGCAGGGAAAGAAGTTTTCTTCCAAGGTCAGCAGGGTGAAGGAGAGCCATGCTGTGGTCCCAGTTATGGTTCTGACTTCTGGTCCCATTATCAGTCAATTCTTATATTGCAGTTTTGTTTCTGTAACCCCCATGGTCTCTAGGAACTGCTCTACAAAAAGGCTAATAAATTCAATGTAATTCACAGGATTTCGAAGAAAAAATACATAATGCAACAACAATAATATTCTGGGGATTTTTGGGGGATGAATAGCTTGAAGTTACTCCAAGGAAAGCCTGTGTTATCATTTTGCCACTTAAACAAGCCTCAGTGGTGGCTGGTGTCCCTCTAAGAGTCTATAATTGAAGATCAGATGCTATTTTTAGAATTAATTGACATCTCAGCTACATGGTCATACTTGTAACCCTTATGCTGTCTGATGAATTCAACAGAAGAGACATGAGGGATATTTCTTTGAAACATCAAATGCCTTTGGTCACTCTGGATGGAATGCTGCTCAATCAACGAGTAAATGCTCCTCAGTGTTAAAAGCTTTTTTCTTTTTGCTCATTTGGGCATTTAGAAATATAGAGATCATAAATATTGAGTGAAAATTTAGTTTTGTTTTATGAAAAAAGCTGAAAAAAGTTATCAAGAGACAAGGATATTTTTTACAACTACCAGCACTGTTTGAAAATCCTAAACATGGATACTATCTTACTTTATGTCTGGATACAAATTATTTCTTGAAGAGATTTTGCTATTTTAAAAATGAGCAGCAAAGGAGTACTGGGTTTAGCTTTCTCAGGTCCCATCCACACTTCTGATGTCTAGAGACAGTTGATGATCTTTGAATTGATTTGCAATTAGTGCCTCAAATCCAGTCTTTAAATTTGGCTGTATGAGGTGGGTTTTCCAAGCAACATATAGAGGTTTAATCCCCTGATTCCCATTACTTTAAGAGTGGTGACTCTAACTCCCCATGCAGCTGACCCAGAGTTTACCCCTGCTGCCTCCAAGTGCCAATTAAATAATAAAAAACCCAAACCGTGGCCAGATGTAATTAGTCTGAAAACAGAGTTTTATAATTTTCCTTATGCCAAGCAAACAAGTTAACCTCTCAGATGACATACACAAAATAATTTAGACAAAGAAAACACAATTCTCAAATGAGCATTTCTTATGCTGCTTTATCCAGATTTTGCTCTTGTGGAAATAGGCAAACAGGGAAATAAACTTTGGCTCCAAATGGCTGAAAATTCACTTGATGCAGCTACTGACCGGATTTTCCCATTATATATATTAAAAACATGCCTTTGAGCCAGGCACCGGTGGCTCACGCCAGTAATCCTAGCTACTCAGGAGGCTGAGATCTGAGGATCACAGTTCAAAACCAGCCTGGGCAGGAAAGTCCATGAGACTCATCTCCAATAAATCATCAGAAAACAGGAAGTGGCACTGTAGCTTAAGTGGTAGAGCGCTTGCCTTGAGCTGAAGAGCTGAGGGACAGTGCCCAAGGCCCAGTGTTCAAGACCCATGACCGACAAAACAAAAACAAAAAGAACAAAATACTAAGACCAAAAACATGTCTTTGAAGAATCTAGTTGATTGAGGTTGCATGGAATATGTGGTACTTCTTTAAAATATTCTGATAGAAACAGGCTCCACTGACTGTGGAAGACTACCTAAAGAGGATAGTTATCTGAAAGACAGCTGGGCATTTCTCTCTCTCTGTAACACCATCAACTGAGTGGTCCCTTGAGCAAGCAACACCAAGTCCCTGATCCTGGCCCCTTTGGGATGAGGTGGTCTCCTTGGTGATGCCGAGGCAGGGCTTTGCTGTACTCCTCTCCTTGGCTGTTGAGAATGCGAATGAACTGTCCATCTAGAAACAGACCCTCTCAGTATGCTCTCACTAGTCACGTGTAAACAGTGCAAAACAGTGTAGCGGGGAAAGGTCAAGGAGATCTGGGCTGGATAACATGAAGTAGTCATTTTAGTGGCTATTTCTGCTTCTGTTCATTTTGGTTTGGGGAGAAGGAAAAGGCAGGAGATAGGAGTGAAAGAAAACAAGATGAACAAAACCCACTACACAGAGGCTTTAGCATGTCAATCACAGGTCTCATCGTTCCATCTTCTTGAGTTCATAATTCTCTTATTTTACTCAACCAAACATGGAACATGTGACTCCACCTTGTTGCTTTGAGTTGGGAAATCCTGGCACAATAGTCAGGGAATTAACTTGTGCCATTAAAGAATGTCAAACAGAACAGAGTCCCAGGTTCAACAGGCACACACGTAGTCACCAATATGAAAGTCTCAAGCTTCCTATTCAGAGTGTTCTCAGACACTAGAGTGCCTACCTTCCCCCTCCCCCTCCCCTGTGTGTGTGTGTGTGTGTGTGTGTGTGTGTGTGTGTGTGTGTATTAAGACATGGAAAAGGCAAATTCTAAGCTATAGTTATATGGAAGAAAAACCTACTTTTCTTTCCATCAGACTTTGCAAAGATAATCCAAGAAGGCATTTTGGAAATGTTTGTGAAACAAGGAAGTTGCTTTTAAAGATACTGGAAAACAAATAGATAAAGATAGCTGGAAAACAAATGCTGATGTGAGCCTATTTAAATTCTCAAGTTTCCTTGTAAAATAGTCACAGAATTGGTGGACAATTTTTCTTAAACATACAACTCAATTTCTCTCATGTACAACATAAATCATTTAATGTAACATTTGCAACCTTAGAAAGGCAGACATATTTAATCCAAGTCCATTTATAAATTCCAATTTCACATGGATTAAAAACTGCAGATAAATTAAGTCACAATAATATCCTGTACATGCATTAAGGCCGGTGACTGCTGAAGTCTCTTGGGTATCTACAAACAGGAAATCACACGCAGGTTACTGGGTCTGAAGAGCGTCTACATCATTAAAAAAATCTTGCTTTTTTTTTTTTTTTGGTGATACAGATTTCAACAGCAACTCTGGAAAACTGTGAAAAATGTTATTTAAAAATATATATGTATATGCTACTGCACAGTTTCAAAGGTGTGGTTCATAAATAATGTTGCTGCACTGATTCGTTTTGTAACAATGACTGCACTTCCAAGGTGACATGAACACGCAGTGACATATACTCAATATTAGGCACTAGTAATATCTGTCAGGCATACTACAGTTCCATGTTAGCTGTATTGTACATATATATTTTTAAATGAATGCATTTATACAAACTGTGTATATTATGTATGGGCGCCAGAACATCGTTGTTGGAATACTAGAATTGGTTTTAGTGCAGAAAGTCTCCCTGCATTGCATTCTGTGTGTTCAGCCTAGTATGTAAGTTTTTCAGCTCTTTCAGATTATTTTTCTGGTACATTCCTCTTTAGATAGTAGGTCCAAGCATCATCCATTTGCAACGTGAAAGTTTTCAGAAGCTTTTTTTCTTTTTTTAAACAAACCTCTCTCTCTCTCTCTCTCTATTTCTCAGCACAGTTTTGCACATGCATCTGATCTGTGTGGAGAGTGGTGCCTGATGTCAACATCTGATCTACTTGGGCTGCTCTCTTTCACAAAAAAATCGGAGCATGTGACAGGATAGCATTCTTTTGTCAAGTTATAGCACACCAGGTCAGCTGAACTTGGTTCAACTCCTCAGGCAAGAACGCATCCTGAGAAGTCCAAATGAGCACTGTATGTGAAAATGTGATGTTTCTGGAAGGATATATATCAAATGTGTGCTATGGCTGTTTCAGCTGACTGAGACAATCAAAGTCTTAGACTTTCTGCCTTGTTTGAATTTTTAACCATAAAGAGCTATCAGTTTTATAATCAGAAAACACACCAAAAAAGTTTCAACTTGGTACCCAACTGATGAAAAGGGATGAGATATGACTGACTTTCACAAGCCATATTCAGGAGACGGTTCTGGATCCAAACAGATTATGCCAAACTCATCAAAAAGTGCAGCCCATCATGTTCTACAGATGAAGTGAGAAACATGGGTAGGATCCCATGCTCTGACCATCCCCTGAAAGGACCAGTTTGTAGTTCTGTTGGAAGCGCAGGTCTTCAGCCTTATATGGGGCTTCTTAGGCAGGCTAACATGGATGCCACAATAAAGTCTGACACTTTAAGGACAGACAAGACCAGAAAACCTCTCCAGGGATGCGTGGCAGACACCTAGGGCCAACTGTTTAGGTGAGAATTCCAACAAGGGTAAGTAGAACAAAGTCTCAGTTCTGCTGTACATACCTGATTCCAAGTTTCTTAAGTAGATTCCAATTTCCAATGTAAGATGGATCCTGAACTTAGCTAACTAAGGGAGATGAAAAGAGCCTCACTTGTATAAATGGAAATGTAGACTGAGTATCCCTAAAATTCCCAAATCCCAAATGCTCCAGAATCTAGAACATTCTGGACATCAATATGATGTCCTAAGTGGTAAGTTTCACTCCTGACCTCATGTGATGAGTCTCAGCTACAATGCAGAAACAGCATATAAAATTACTTCCTGGTCATGTGCCTAGGAGCATATACAACATAACTGATTTCCATTAGAGACCCATCCCCAAGATAACTCTTTATTAATGTGAATGTTCCAAACTCAGAAACAAATCTGACATCTAAAACCAATTCTGGTCCCAAGTATTTTGGATAAGGATCACTCAACTTGTACTGTTAATATTCTCACGTGCATTAAGGTCAAAGCCAAATGAGAATTTCACAAAGCTTTCATTCGCTCATTGTCAATTAATCTCAAATCACCAATTGCTCTATCATCTGCACAGTTTTGAATCCGTACTTAGAGCAGAGGAATCCCAGTCATCTTATTTGCCATCTACAGACCAGGCTGACAAAAATGTGAACATTGTATCCAAACATAAGGATGTAGTGAGCTCTACCAGCAGGGATCACACACACTTTGTGTCTCTACCACCTTGAACAGTACATTGTCCCAGAGATTGTGTTACCTGTCTTTTCACACTGACCTGCTACAATCCTGTCAAGTAACTCAAGGATGTTAGTTTTAGTTTTAAAGTGTGGTATGGCGCACCCTCTTTTTGCAGGAGTTGTTTCCTTCTTACCAATATTTTTTATCCAAATACATTTAACAAGAAAACTAAATCTAGGGTATGACAAAACATTATAAAACAAATAAATGAGACAAAAACTGTAAACGAGATGTTAAAAAAACTAAAATGTAAACGTAATTCAAAAGGGAAGAAAGCAAAGAAAGGGAAAGGAAAAGAATGGAAAGGAAAAAAGGAAAGAGGCAAGGGCAAGATGCAAACAGACGCATACCAGGGACCCAAGGTCTAAGCACAGGGTGCTCTGGTTGCTGCTTCTCTAAACAGAATCACAAAAATTGCAGGAACAATTTCCCTTGCACTATCAGCAGCTTATTAATGAAAGCCTGAAAAATATCTCCAAATCAAAATGAATCAAAGGCCTGTAGTACATTCTACAGGAATGTGAAGATCAGACAGCATTAGGATGGCCAAGAGCTCTCAGCCTGAGAAGCAACAGGTAGACCACTAGCAATGGACATTCTAGACAATGTCCTTATTGGCCCAAGAAAAGTGGCAAGAAAGCTACCATGGAAAGAAAAGACTTGGAACACACTGCGGTAAAGGCCACGTGGCTCTCCAGCCACAGTCACAGTGGCAGGAGGAGGAAATGAATGTGCCTGGAAGGCTTGTCACAGGTGTAGATTTCAACTTTGAACTGAGCTCCCAATAGTCATTGTTGCTTTCATGTGGGTTAAATTGACCAGATGGTGGTGCCATTTTCATATTATTTGGGCAAGGGTAAGAAGGCTTGTGGGAATTGGTGCACTTGCTTATAATGTGTTTAGCGGAGAATAATGCTGGATGGGAAGAAGGTATTGGAGGATGGGCTAGGTATTTGGTTACATGCAATCTAGTAAACATCTGGCACAAAAATAACTGACTTGTTTTCATTACTCAATTACCCATTAATACACACTGATAAAAAATAATTGGGAAAGAGTATATTAATACTGAAAGTAATCAATAAGGTAAGAGCTAGGTTTCAACTTAACTGGCAGTTAAGTTTTCTGTGTGCTGCACTGCACCTGGTTAACTAACCCATGAGATTTTGGTTGGACTTTCTAAGACGTCATGATTCAGCATTGGAAAAGGAAGAAAGAGTGTGAACATGAGTGTGCATGTAATGTGGGTCTTTCCTCTCACCAGGGACCTCTGCTCATGTCTAGCCTGGCATGATGGAAACTAGCTAAGGAGAACGTGTTCGGAAGAGCTGTGTATCTTACACACATACACAGGCAGCTTCTCATTACACCCACATGTACAAACACACATGCCCTGGAAAAAGACCATTGTTTTGATGTGGAGGACACATTCACTGCAGTTTGATAAATGCTGTGGCTGGCAATTTCAATAGCACAGTGTCCCGAGATAGTGAGCCATCCATGGACAGGACTGAGCACCTGGCTGGAGGACGAGGTGCCTAGGACAAGTGGGTGCTATTCCTCAGCCAGTGCAGACCCTGCTGGGAGTACTGCACCAGGTGCTCCATGCTGCTGTGCAGGGTGACCGGTCCCATGAGCAAATCCAGGTCATTGAAGAATTCTAGGGACACAGAGAGAGAAAGAGAGCGAGCGCTGTTAAGAGCACTGAACATGTGTAAGGTATCTGTCCTATCTGTAAGTCAGGACCTGAACGACTTCAGAAAGAATTCTATTCATGATCTCTATAGAAAGCAAAGGCTTTCTGATTCATCCTGTGCTTTTAGCATCTCCTCGAACAAAAGAAGGTCCAAGAGTCATCCTAAATCCAAATAAACTAATACATGAATAAATGGTACCTGCCATTTTGAATCCAAATGAATAGTGCCAAAAGACCTGTATGTTTAGACCACACTCTCGCCATACAGTAGTGCTTCCCACCCTGAATGTCAACGTGGCTTTGTCACCCTTGTTCTGTGGTCAACTGTGGCCTGTGCTGAGCTCCTGGAATGAGTCCAAGGCATGAGAGCTCCAGGATGGCCGGGGAAATTCAGAGTCTGGAGGAGGGGAGGCATCTATCTCTACTGAGGTCAACTTCTAGCATTTGATGTTCTTCTGGGTTTGTCCTTTCGTTAAACATCGACTGTTACACCAAGGTACTCTGTAGGTGGAGGGGAGGATGCCAAGGTGAGTCATGTTTGGACTCTTCTCTCTACATCGCAGTTTAGTAGCTGATAGAGACAGGTTCATGCTGTCATGGGGGTGGGGAGAGACCTCACTGAATAATAGACCTAGTGTCCAAAACAAGTTTTTCCAAGATACTAAGGTGCACACTGAATAATGTCCTGCTAGGAAAAGGCAGAGAGCGCCGGGCGCTGGTGGCTCACGCCTGTAATCCTAGCTACTCAGGAGGCTGAGATCTGAGGATTGCGGTTCAAAGCCAGCCCGGGCAGGAGAGACCATGAGACTCTTATCTCCAATAAACCACCAGAAAACCGGAACTGGCGCTGTAGCTCAAGTGGTAGAGAGCTCGCCTTGAGCTGAAGAGCTGAGGGACAGCGCCCAGGCCCAGAGTTCAAGCCCCACGACCGACAAAAAAAAAAAAAAAAAAGAAAAGAGAGGGTCAGGGAAGATTCCCCATGGCAGGGGGTTGTGGGAGGGAGGGAATCTAGGCAGAGGAGGAGGAGCTGCTGAGTCTGCACTGGACACGTGGCACTGAGCCCTCTGGTAAGAGATATTTAACAAGTGACTGGTAATGCCATAGGGAGCTGGACTTGCTCTCCCAAAGTAGATGTGTCTATTTCCTTTCTGCTCTGTCCACTGGAGAAACCCATCTCACCCCTCTTGGCTGCTCAATTTTGATGTGCTTTTCAGAATCCTCTTCTATGCTAGTTCCTCTGGCAAGATTCTCCTCATGGCCTGGGACTTTTAGGATGGGCTTTTAGGATGTACCACCTTTGGGGACTCAGAATCCATCTGGGCCATCCACTCTGTGTTATCACAGGCACGCATAATTATCATTGCATGGCCTGGGGGCGAGCTGATTTGCTGGTGTGGAAGGACAGTAATAATGCTGCATAATGGTTCAGAAGAAAATAAAAAAGGTAAGATCAAGATGCAGAAAAAGCATCTATAACCTCTTCACCCCAAAATTCTCTATTTTTTTTTCCTGGTGGTCCTGAGGATTGAGTGCATAATTGATAGTCAAGTGCTCTACCTTTCTCTCCAATTCTACTTCTGTAACTGCCTCCCAAGAATGCCATCAGACATATCAACCTGAAGTTTGCATGAAAATACTCATTACCCAACTTATGAAATGGAAACCCCTCTGTATAACAGCTTAATAATAACAATAAAACCATATTTCAAAAAAGAATCAGGAGGAATAAAAATGATGATGTGTTTACTAACATGGAAAGAAGGCTCAGGATGTGGCTCAGTGGTAGAGAGTGTTAACATGTGTGAGATCCTGGATTCAATAACAATCAACATATAAAGAAAAGACTTAGTGGCGCTGTAGCTCAAGTGGTAGTGCGCTCGCCTTGAGCTGAAGAGCTGAGGGACAGCGCCTAGGCCCAGAGTTCAAGCCCCACGGCCGACAAAAAAAAAAAAAAAGAAAAGACTTAGCTGTGTCTTCTGAAATGAAAAGTGCATAGTGTACATGTGGTACAGGTGTGTATATTTATATGTAGTGTAATCCAGTGTGCATTTTCTTTTTTTTTTTTGGGGGGGGGGGGTCTGGTCGTGGGGCCTGAAATCTGGGCCTGGGCGCTGTCCCTCAGCTCTTCAGCTCAAGGCTAGCGCTCTACCACTTGAGCCACAGCGCCACTTCTGTCTTTTTTCTTTTTGCTTATGTGGTGCTGAGGAATCGAACCCAGGGCCTCATGCATGCAAGGCAAGCACTCTACCACTGAGCCACCTTCCCAGCCCCAGTGTGGGTTTTCTATGCATTCATGAAAACACTTGGAAGAGTATTCTAATGTGAATAATGATTATATCTCAAAGTAATGAAAGACAGAAAAATGGATAGTGATTTATGTAAAAATAGCTGGTATAACTTTATGTGTCAGTAGAAAATGCTAGAGATAATTGTCTGGGTGCTGGTTTGAGAAGTCACTGTACTTCGCAATTATGTAACCATCACACTAATAATACTTCAGAAGCCTAAAAAAGGGTGTTCTGCAATAATGAGTGATATAAGAAAATGCCTGATATAATGTTCAATGAAAAAAAGATAGGATATAAAATGTATGCACATGATCATATTACTTTGGTAAAAGCCATGCATATTTGGAGAAGAAAGACTAGAAGATACTTAAGTAGAATGTTAACAGCAATTTCCTGATGATACAATTGCTTGATAATTTAAAAACTTTTTTTTCTATAGCTGCATAAATTTAGACACAGTAAGTATGCCTTATTTCTTTTTTTACCTGCAAGTCAAACATTATTTACAATGCAGTATAACTTACTGCTACTTGAAAAAAAAATCTCTTGTCAGTGGTAGGCTGCTGACTTTTTTTTTCTTTTGGCATCTCATTGTGTAGCCTAGGCTAGCCTGGAACTCACAGACTTCTTGCCCAGCCTCCTAAACGCTGGGATTACAGACATTGCTATCAAGGCCAGTTAACAATTGACAAAGAGCTAGAATTCATTCACTGATGCATTGATTCATTCATGTATTTGATATTTTGGAGCCCTGTGTTCTAGAGTAGATCTCGGGAGAACAAATGTGAATGAAATATAACCTCTGCTTTCAAGGAGCTCATTGTCTAAACAGAACATACTTGTGTACATCTACACTTTCAACTACATCTGTATCTATATAGGATACATCTGCATCTATATTTAATCTACTGGATACACACTTCCACAGGAGGCATGAAGGGAGATAAAGACACAGGGTGTCCTGAGGGAGGGGAGAGGTCAAGAAGGTTTCATGCACTAGGAGACAGCTCTTCCTCTTTTCCCTTCCATAGCCCTGACCACTGGGGCAGTGACAGACCAGGGGTTAAGTGACTTCCCAAGCCTAGTTGGATCAGCATGCTTTGATAGGAACCCCCCTCTCTCCCCCACTCCGCCCTATACATACCTCTGTTCTCCTTGGCCAGGTTGTCAGCCATCTCCCAGTAGTCATAGCTGTGGAGGATGCTGTTGGTGATGCTGACGTGATTGGCAGCCATCTGGTGAATGCGGTGGGGGATGCTAACGATGGTCGACGGGGACAGGGCATTGCTGCTGGAGAGGCTGCCCTGAGACCCCACGGAGCTGGTGGGAGAGGGGTTGGGAGACATGGGGGATGGGGTTCCAGTGCTCCTGGAAAGGGAGAGGTAGAAAAAGCAGAGTGGAGAGGTTGGGAGCAGGTGAGGTGGGGCAGCCCTGCAGGACACTGGAGCAGCATGCATGGGGTGGGGTGGGGTGGAGGGATGGACAAGTGACTTACTTTCCACTGGCACCCCATGGAGATGGGGCTTGGGAGGCTTTTGATGAATTCTGCGGGAAGATGAAAACGTGGACAGTGAGTGTCACCTGCCTAAGGTCATACAAGACCCTGACAGATGCAGATTCACAGAAATTGAGTCTGGAGAGCTGCAACCCCAAGGCTATTTTACTCTCTGTCTGGAGGCTGCCTGGCTTGCGGGGGCTCCATCAGGTGAGGAAGAGCTCTCCTGGATTTTCATATACAAATTTCAGATACTAAATTAAATCCTAATACTGAGGACCTATTGAATTCTGAACTAGTCCAGTTGTTTTGTAAATTAGTCTAACTTTTCTGAGCAGGAGCAGTGACCAAGAGCTGCCCCTTTCCCACAGTGTATGGCTTATTTAAGTTTAGGGATTATTTGCCAAAACTGTTGATAGACATTTATTTACTGCTGGAAATTCTATTGTTCCACCTTATGAAATTTGAAAGTATTCCTCTTCATTAAAACCATTCATTAAAAAAATATCTTTAAGGGCTGGGAAGGTGGCTCAGTGGTAGAGAGCTTGCCTTGCATGCCTGAGGTCCTGGGTTCGATTCCTTAGTACCACATAAGCAAAAAGAAAAAAGCCGGAAGTGGTGCTGTGGCTCAAGTGGTAGAGTGCTAGCCTTGAGCTGAAGAGCTGAGGGACAGCGCCCAGGCCCAGAGTTCAGGCCCCACGACCGGACACCCCCCCCCCTAAAAATATATATCTTTAAGCAATCGTACAAAGGAGTCTCAATTTAACATTAGCTGAAAATCACTCTAAAATATTCCCATCGGAATAGATTAAAATACATTTCCTTAACAGACAGGATATTCAAAACTTCTCATTTAGGCGTTTTGATTTTGGATGTTTTGTTTCATGGAATGGATGTTAGCCTCAGAGATTTAGGGGTTCAATATGTGAGCCCTTGGGTTCAATCCTCAGCAATGTAAAGAAACAAAAAAGAAAACCATACCAGCCAAACAATAAATAAAAACTAGTCAAGAAAACACAGAGGAAAAAAAAAAAAGAAACCTCAAAGAAAGCTTTCCCTTAGCAAGGGAAGTTGCTGGATACACAGTAAGGTTTCTGAGGGCAGATATTGCTTTTGTGAACTGATGCCTGCAGGTGTATCAAGGGAAATAATTTTGTGGCGCTTAGTGAACTTTCTCTTCCAAAGACAAGAAAATAGTCTTAGCCTGGTTCTCCCTCACCACCCATCCCACAGCGCATTCCTTTGCTTTACATCACTTCATGAAGTGATGATTATTTTCCTTTGGTTTTAGTGTAGGAATTGGCAAAATGGCCAGAAATGGCCTTTGAGGACTCCAAGGTACCCCCACAAGGCATAAACACAAGGTAGAGCTATAAAACACATTTTTACCTGTCAAAGAATGACATGTTTTGAGGTGAACAAGAAAGTGGACTTTCTTAGTAGAGGATACCATTTTCTCTTTCCTGCCCAAATGCTATCCACATGTTTGGGTGGGGGGGGGGGCGGAGGGGAGCACTATAAACTCCATTACTTTGCTTGCACTGTTTAGGGCTCTCACAATATGGTCTACACAGAGGATGACTGGGTGTAAGAACAAGGAGGGAATGTGAGTGTGGAGGCTGAAGGCAGCCAGAAAAGGAGGTGAAGGGTAAGACAAGCCCTCAGGCACTTCCTCTATTGTGGACAGAAGCCCCACACCAAAACAAAAACCAACACTGGTTGGAACAAAGTCTCCTTTCCAGAGACTCTGCACTGATGAAACATTCCCTAGATCTAAAATGTAATTTTAGTTTTCAGTTCCTGAACTTGATTAAAATAGCCTGTGAAACTTTGCTCAATGTGCAGGTACTTCATGGGTGCAAAAACTGTTAGGAAGGATAAGTTCTAGAGGTTTATTGCACAGAATGGTGACTGTAATTAAGAATAATGGCCCAGAGGGTGGCTCACATCTGCAATCCTGTGTTTCAAGGCCAGTCCTAGAAGGCTAAGAAGACCCTCAACTCAACAAAAAGTTAGGCATGGGAGGGCCTACCTAGCAATGTGGCAGGCCTAGGTAGGAAGACTGAAATCTGAGGCTGGGCAAAGGCGGCTCAGGGGTAGAGTGCTTGCCTTGCACGCATAAGGCCCTAGGTTCGATTCCTCAGCACCACATAAGAAGAAGAAGCTGGAAGTGGTGCTGTGGCTCAAGTGATAGAGTGCTCGCCTTGAGCTGAAGAGCTGAGGGACAGCACCCAGGCCCAGAGTTCAGGCCCCATTACCGACAAAAAAAAAAAAAAAAAAAGAAATGCTACTTGAAAAATAACTAAAACAAAAAGTGCCGTGGGTATGGCTCAAGTGGCAGTGTGCCTGACTAGCAAGCATGAGGTCACTACTGTCAATACTGCCTAAAAGAAAGAAAGATAAGAAATATGCCTGAAAAATCACTGAGAGTATATTTTATCTTAATTATTTTTATTAGCATATATTAATTGTACAAAAGGTTTCATTATGGTGTTTTCTTACCTCCTTCCCTCCCTCCCTCCTCTTCCTTTCTCCCTTCCTCTCTGGTTCTGGTCCTAGGGCTTGAACTCAGGGCCTGGGTGCTGTCCCTGAGCAGTATTGCCTAAGGCTAGTGCTCTAACCACTTGAGCTGAAGCTCCACTTCTAGCATTTTGGTGGCTAATTAGAGATAAGAGTTTCATGTTCTTTCTGGTTCAGGCTGGCTGTGAACTGCAGTTCTCAGATCTCAGCCTCCTGAGTAGCTAGATTATAGAGGTGGATCACTGGAGCCTGGCAGTCAAGCATTTGTCTTAATGGTAATAGCTCTTTTAATATGACTCTTAAGGGCTTTATGACAGCTCTTGTCATTATGACACAGATGGTCAATGGACCAGAAAGCCATCTAGTTGGCTCAGCAAAAGTACTATGAGGCCATATGCTGAACAGAGCCCTGGAGACCTCCAACCTACCCTGCTCATCAGAAACCCAGAAGAAGTGACAATTGGACAAAAGGAATCGAGAGTAATGTTGAGTAGCGTTTTTATAGATAAACAGAGAAGACATCTAGAGGTTCCCAAAAATGACTGCTTAGCTTCAAGCTCACTTTGCAATATAGATTAAAAATAAACTGACGGGGTACTGAGCCCTAAAAGCCAAAGTATGTTATAAATAGGGTTATTATAAAGGCCAGAGGGGACCCTAAAGCAATGGATTCAAATGCTTTCTCTAACAGGGAATCAACGGAACCCAAGGAGCCAGGCTACCCCTCTATCAGAAGGTACCTTAAAATAGTCAATAAGTGCTTTTGAATACTTCACAGCATGGTCCCTTTTGAGTCGAAACATCCGCCAGTAGAGGAGAGCCAGACATCGGTAACTGTAACAGAAGAGGAAAAATGAGCAAGACAGAAAAGTGTGTCTTTCATAAGCTTGTTATTCTAGAGCACTAGCTACTTGTTGTGCACATCTACACCATATTTATGTATTTCATTGAACATATGTCAGTGAGTATCTGACATTCCTTTTTTTCAAAAATGTACTCCAAAATTCCAAGGAAGTACTCCCTAAATACACATACCACTAGATTATTGTGTAGTAGCTCCAAGGCTTCTTTGTTGGGAACAGGTCTGGCTGCTTTGTTTGTCTACCACTAGAGGGCAGTCTCTGTCCACCAGAGGCATGAGGAAGCTGGAGCACATAGCTTCCACTGCTTCCTGGGGAAGCTACTGGATTTGCTCATAGGACAGACACTTTACTAGTCTATAATTATCTCAATGAAAGTGCATTATAAGTACTAGCAACACTATGCTGAGAATAGTTTCATTAAGTTATTTTCTACATCATTTACATGTTTGTATTCTAGTAGAATACTCATTACTGTCATTAACTTATTCTAACATGATACTTCAGTAAAGACAATGGCACAGGTAGCATTTCCTGAAACTCATCCTCACTTCCTTGGCCCTTCTTAACTCATAATTACTCATAGTTATTAACTGAGTGAGATCTGGGTGACATGTTGGTATATCAACGTACGAAACACAACTTAATAGTCTGCTCTTAACTCTCCAGGTTCCAGCTGTGGCATGTGAAACAACCCCAGATGCTTCTCTTTGGTCTTTATTATATTTTTGGAGACTCCATTTGACTCTTCAATTCACAGATTAGCTTCTAGAACTCACGGAACCTTCAGAGAGCAAAAAGTTTTGGATATCTTTGACAGGTAGAACCAATAGCAAGGTGTCTTTGTGTTTTGGAGAGGGTTGAGGTGACCCAAAGAAATACCATTGAGAATAACTGTTACCAATGGAATCATTATAAGCCGCAGGAAAAGAAACATATATATTGGCTAACATTAACAAAAACATTGTATTATCCAAGTATAAGCAAGCTCTTCTTGGTTTAATGTATGGAGAACATAGTGAGTCATCTGTTTTCATTCCTACGAATCTACCAGTTAAGCAACATATGAGTTATTTAGATTGCATCTCAACTGTTACACACAGTAAAAATTCCATTTGGCACAACTCCCATTCAAATGACTTTAACTGGGACCTACCTGATTTTAAAACACAGGCACACGTACAGGAACAACAACAACAACAAACTATCCCTGCATAACCAACCTGTCAGTTTTCAATCACTGTGAATTCTGTTCATGTGTGGCACTGCAGCAAAAATGGCCTAGATTGTTGTTGGCTGTTAGAACTACACAGAGCTTTGTAAGTTAGAAATACCAGGAAAACAGCCTGCATTTCAGCACCTGGCTGGCCAGTGACTCAGAGGCATGGTTACTCTCATGAGCTGGGAGGTTACACTCACCACAATGCAGCTAGTTGTTTGTCCTCAGGAGTGGCATTGGGGCCTGAGTGAGTTTTCAGTCTCATAGCATACCTGAAAAACCAAAACAACAGAGGAGTTTAAAAAAATACTCTGTGTGTGTGTGTGTGTGTGTGTGTGTGTGTATCTAGTACTGGGGTTTGAACTCAGAGCCTTGTGATCTCCCTTCAGTTTTTCACTCATGGTTGGAGCTCTACCACTTGAGCCAGGACTTCAGTTCTGTTGTTTTTTTGCTGGTTAATTGGAGATGAAGTCTCATGGACTTTACTGCTCAGGCTGGCTTCAAAGTGAGATCCTTCAAGGTCTCAGGCTCTTGAATAGTTAGGATTACGGGCATGAACTTTCAGAACTTGACCTCTGTCTGGGGATTGAATCCAGGGCCTTATATAAGCAATCCGCCTCATGAGTCACACCTTTAGCTCCCCCAGCCCCCGCACCCCCCAACATGTTTTCTGTTGGTCATGGAGCTTCAACTCAGAGCTCTGGTCCTCAGAGCCCCTCTGGTCCTGGGGTTTGAACTCTGGACCTGGGTGCTGTCTCTGAGCTTCTTTTGCTCAAGGTGAGCACTCTACCACTTGAATCACAGCACTACTTCTGGTTCTTTTGAGTAGATTATTGAGATAAGAGTCTCACAGAGTGTCCTGCCCAGGCTGGCTTCGAACCAAGAATCTTAGGCTCCTAAGGAACTAGGATTACAGGTGTGAGCCACCAGTGCCTTGCTTGTATTTAGGTTTTGAGATAGGGTCTCACTAACTTGGTCTGGGCTAGCCTTGAAGTCATGATTCTCCTGCCTCTGCCACCCCTGTAGCTAGGATTACAGGTGTGTACTACCACACCTGGCTGATTATTCTTTCTAAAAAGCTACCTGATGTCACTCTATTTTCCTCAGCCATGACACTATCAATATGACAAGAATAAAATGACTTTCTTCTCTTTAAATAACACAAGTTCAAATGCTAAAGATTGTCAGGAGTGATCCGAACCCAAGAACTATTTGAGTATATGATAACATGTCCAATTTTCTAAATTTTGATTTACATCCAAGAGGCTGACAGATGGAGGCAAAGTTCAATTCTTCTAGAGATTTCCACCTGTGGGCTCAGACAGATGTTCCATTTACCACTCTGTTCTGTAACACTTACTCTGAGGGCAGCTTAAGTGATTGCCATATTTGTTTTTTTTTGTCCGTTGTGGGGCTTGAACTCTAGGCCTGGGCGCTGTCCCTGAGCTCTTTAGCTCAAGGTGAGCGCTCTACCACTTGAGCCACAGCGCCACTTCTGGTTTTCTGGTGGTTAACTGGAGATGAGAGTCTTACAGACTTTTCTGCCCGGGCTGGCTTTGGACTATGATCCTCAGATCTTAGCTTCCTGAGTAGCTAGGATTACAGGTGTGAGTCACCAAAGCCCAGCGTTCTGCATACATTTTGAATCTCTCTATATATTTTCTTCAGACCTGGGCAATGAGGAACTAGGGGCTTTTAGAGACTGCATTTAATTCTGTTTACTTCTTTGAGCTAGGGAGACTGAGGCCCCTGTTTTTTCCTACTAACATACTAGGTCTTCTATGGGCTGACTCAGTGTGCAATGGCTAGAGGGTTCTATGTTCAAATCCTAGCTTAGCATACTTATTAGTATGAGAGTTTAGGTAAATGTATTAACAAGTCGAAGCCCTTATTTACTTATCTGTAAAATAAGAACAGCACTGGAATCATCTAGCCTTGTTGTACAGATTATCTCAGAGAATTTTATAAAAACTAAAACTAAATGTTGAAAAACGAACTTTACAACTTTGGTGGGGAGGGGGGTGAAAGGGGGGTGGGAGCAAGATATGGGAAGGGATAGGAAGAGGAAACAATGGAGGAAGCAACAATGCTTGATAAGAAATGTACTCATTATCTTGCCCATATAATTGTAACTCCTCTGTACAGTATTTTCATAATAAAAATATAAAAAAATAAAACTAAGATAATTTTGGCTTCATGCAAATTGCTTGATTTAAGTACCATTATCATTCTTAATTCTGCAGTGTACAGATCTGTAGGTTTTAAAGTGTATCTCTCTGTACATACATATATGTATAGGTTATGTATCTCTAGAACAGTGATTTAACAAACGACTGATATCAACATGTTACTACTTTGAGTGAAGTGCAGAAACCCTGACTACTTTTAAATGACACTACATTGGTAATCAAATGGTGGTATAATTGTTATTTCATTCATCATATATGATTTATAAAACTCAAGAGGTGGATCATTTCTTATATGTATTTATATTACTGTTCTTTCTACTTTGATGCTCTGAGCTCCTTCTTCTGACATTTCCTTTAATTGAGGAAGTTTCTACAGGTGCCAATCTCTAAGCGGGAGTCTGTTAGAGACAGATACTGAGAATATTTTTATTTCTCTTCATTCTTGGACAATAGTTCTGCCAAATCCACAGTCCATAGCGTGACAGGTCATTCTTTCACACTTGGGAAATGCCACACCACCCACTTCTGGCCTCTACAGTTTCAGAGAAGTCTGTGGTCATTTAAATCAGTGAGTTCTCATTGGCAACGTGCCCTATCTCCTTGGCAGCTTTCAGGAATTTTGCTCTGTGTTTGTTTTTCAGAAGTGTAGTTAGGATATGTTCTAGCATAGGCTTCTTTAGATTTATCCTATCTGTTTTTTCTTGGCTTCTTGAATCTGTAGGTTTATGTCTGATTTAATAACTTTCAGCTGTCATTTTTTTGAATATTCTCTTTGTCTACTATTTTTTTTCCAGTCCTGGGTTTCCAATGACATAAAAATTGTATCTTTTGTTACTGTGTTTGCCGTGGTTTGAATGTGGCCCTCAATATCTTGGAAGCTCAGTATGCAACATAACAATATTTGGTAGTGGGAAGTTTAAAGTAGCTTTCTTCTCCTAAGGAATTAATGCTATTATTGTGGGCATACATTAGTTATTGAATGAGTGAGTCTTGATGAAAAGGATGAGTGTGTAGCAACTTTCTCTCTGTTCTTGATTGCCTTTCCTCCAAGTTTTTGGGTTTGTTTTTTTTGCCAGTCCTGGGGCTTGAACTCAGGGCCTGAGCACTGTGCCTGAGCTTCTTTTGCTCAAGGCTAGTACTCTACCACTTGAGCCACAGCGCCACTTCTGGCTTCTTCTGTTTAAGTGGTACTAAGGAATTGAACCCAGGGCTTCATGAATGCTAGGCAAGCACTGTACCACTAAGCCACATTCCCAGCCCAACCTTTCCTCCATGTTTTGATGTAGCATGAAAACCCTCACCAGAGGCCAGCAAATGCTCTTGAACTTCCAACCTCCAGAACTAAGGATCAAATTTCTATTGCTTATCATTTACCCAATCTGTGATATTTTGTTATAGCAGCAAAAAGCAGACTAAGGTGATGTTGGAGCATCTATTCTTTCTTTTTAGCCTCTTTCCTCTGTTGTTCAGATCAGGTAAATTCTACTTTCTGTTCTCAACTTTGTTGATTTCACCCTCTTTATTTCTACTCCTTACTGAGTACAGCAGTGATTTTGTTTTGTTTCTGTTATCTTTTTCAGTTTTATAATTTCCATTTGGGTTTTTAAAAAAGACTTTGCCCTCTTTGACAAGATTATCTCTATTTTTGTGTGTCTTGTAAGAGGAAAGTAATTGTCTATTGGGGGCATTTTTGTAATGGTTGCTTCAAAATCCTTGTCAGAAAATTCCAATGCCTGATTCATCTTGGAATCAGGTGATTCTGTTATATTTCATTCTAGGTGTGATTTTACTGGTTCAAGGTTTGGTGAGTTTCTATTAAGCTCTGGACATTCTGGTTCTTTGTGTTAGGGGTTTCTGGTTCTTTTTTTAAAAATTTTATTTTCGTGTAAAGATGTGGTAAGAGTTCTGGTTCTTATTCAAATCTCTTCTGTTAGCAAACATTCACTCTACTTGGGCTTAGCGAGCAGATCTAGTTTTGGGCTACTTTGGGGCTGTAATAACATTGGTTCCAACAATTTAATTTTCAGAGCTTTCCTGGTGTGATTTTGGTCTGCTCAGCTGACTTGGTGGCACTGGATCACAAGTGGTCCCTCGTGGTACTGCATGAAGTGAGATGAGGTGGAAGAGGAGGCTTACCAGGCTGCACGCTTGTGAAAGCAACCCCCTCTCCCCCTACTGATCCTCTGCCTGCTGGAGCTCTTGGGTGAAGGAGAGAGCTCTCTTCCTTGTGAGTGGTCCCCTGTGCTTAGCACTCCTGGCTCTCCCAGCTATTTCAGTGGGCAAAATCAGTGTCTTTTCTACATTGTTACTTTATAACTGTACCTATTTAGGCGGGTATAATTCACATTTCAACACATGTATATCTTGGCCAAGTTAGGAAATTTAGCATATGATTACCTCACACATGGATCATTTATTTGTGGTGAGGACATTCAAAAACTCTCTGGCGGGTATTTTGGAAAACAGAACTTTTTGTTTCTTTTGTGTTAGTACTGGAACTTGAACCCAGGGCCTTATGCTCTCACTCTGCTTCTTTGCTCACAGCTGGTGATTTACCACTTGAGGGCTACCTCCAGTCCTGAATCTTACTGGTTAATTGAAATGGAGCATGAAGGATTGGTCTGCTTGGGGTGGTGTGGGAGCACAATTCTGAGATGCTAGGATTAGAGGCGTGAGCAACTGATAGCTGGCTTTTGATATTGCATTATTACCTGTAGTCATATGACTGTAATCAACACTATTTTCCAACTCAGGTAAATTTTTTTTGTCTGGGTTTTCTGGATAGTGGGCCTGTACTTGTTCTGAACTCTCCAGAACAAGGAGTGTGTTCTTCACCTGTATAAAGTGATTTACACTGGTGGGCCCAGAAGGTGCTCTACTTGGTTTGTCTGCTGACACCGGGCTTTGTGTTAGGTTTGTTCATTTTAAAGTGTGAATGTTTTTAGTAAGATGTGACACTCTAGATCACTGGAAGGCCTTGAGGCCTGCTCATTTGCTTAGTCCTCAAATATTTAGTAGGTGTCAGAGACTGGGGATGTATCATGAACAAACTAGCCAAAACAACAACAAAACCCCTGTGCACAAAGCACTCTAGGGTATGTTCTTATTGGTGCCTCCTTCTCCCCACATGTGTATGGGCATCTAAGCAACGCTGTGCTCTAAGGAAGGATGAGAGGATCTCTAGGATTGCATCAGTCATGTCAAAGGTTTGTACTGTCTTTTTTTTTTTTCTGCTGAAAATACTGTGGCAAATGGGAAGACAGCATGAACTAACTGCCAGTATGGCGGTTGAGTGGAAATATTTTAATGAGCAAAATGGCTGGGCAGGGCTGACCTTCAAGGCATATTTGAGAAATGCTGTTTGAAGATGTTCTCTGATGTTGGGAAGACACTTCAAAGGCTGAAAACTACTGACTGAAGGAGAGTAGAGAAAAATACCACATAGCTTCTTTGGGTCAATGTGGACCAAAAGATGATGACCCAAGATGACTGGAAACCTTTATGCATAATTGTAAAACAAATAAGAAAAAACCCACCTGAGTTTAGGCTGCATAAAATCTCAGAATAGGCAAAGTCTCAAGTGAGTATTAGGAAGAACTATTTCACATCATGGGTATTAGACATCATCCCGTGCTGTTAGCAACTGGCTAAAATCCGATGCTGTATTACCGAAGTTATCAGTTTGGTTTCTGGAGGGAGTTGCCTCAGTGATTCTTCAGAGATTTGTTAAAGATATGCCTATGAAAAGCATCTCTAGCTACACATGCTCAGTGTCATGTCAGAAATCCTGTCTTGAGGTTGGGGGATGAGGCAGTGTCCAGGATTTAGAACAGAACAAGTGAACAGCATCCAAAATGGTGCATCATAGGGTGGCATCTCCATACAGCTTCCCTGCTTTTTCCCCAAAGTGCTTTCCTTGGTTAAACACTCCTGAAATATTCACAGATGAAGTCAGGTTTTAGATTCCAGTCATGCCTCCTTAGCTGAGGTCTTAGTTTCCATAGTTTCAGTTACCTATAGTCACTTGCAGTTGATATATATATATATATATATATATATATATATATGGTATATATGGTATATATGTATATGTACATATACATATGTATGTGTATGCATGCATGTATGTATTTGGAAGCACTAGGATTGGCTGCAGGGCTTCAATTTACTAGTGTAAGAACAGTACTCTACCACCAGAGCCTCCCATACATTTGAGCCTGTTTTTGCTTCTCATATTTACCCAAGGCTGGTAGGATTTATCCAAGGCTATCCTCAGATGGTGATCCTCCTTCCTAGTTTCCCACAAAGCTGGGATCATAAGCGTGACACCACTGTCTGGCTTACTGAAATGAAGTCTCAGTAACTTTTGCCTGGCTGGCCTTGAACTGCTATCTTTTCTGATCTCCACTTCCCATGTAGGCTGGGATTATAGTCAGCATACTGTTCCTGGACAGAGATTTCTTTTGTCTTTACTCTTTTAAGACAGAGACATCCAATTCACATAACTTTTACTATGGTGTACTATTATAGTTTTTCTATTTTATTACTGGTGTTATTTTTTACTATATCTAGTTTATAAATTAAACATTATACCTGTGTATGTATACCTCAAACACAGTATGTATGGGTTAACTACCTGTAGGTTTAGCATCCACTGCGGGTCTAAGAATGTATTTTTCATACACCTGAATGGTCCCTCCTTCCAGCGCCTCTTTCCCTCCTACTCACTCTGTTAACCACCATTTTTGTGACATCATCTTTTTTATATTCTGCATGAGTGAGATCATGTAGAAATTGTCTTTCTGTACCTGGCTCATTTTACTTTATATGATCATTTCCAGCTGCACCCATAGTGTTGCAAATGGAGGGATTTTGTACCTTTTGTGGCTGAATAGTATTCTACTACGTCCACGTTCCACATATTTTTTTTTTTGGGGGGGGGGGGGGGGAGTCCGGTCGTGGGGCCTGAACTCTGGGCCTGGGCGCTGTCCCTCAGCTCTTCAGCTCAAGGCTAGTGCTCTACCACTTGAGCCACAGCGCCACTTCCGCCTTTTTTTTTTCTGCTTATGTGGTGCTGAGGAATCGAACTCAGGGCCTCATGCATGCAAGGCAAGCGCTCTACCATTGAGCCACCTTCCCAGCCCACGTTCCACATTTTCTTTATCCATTCACCAGCTGAGGACACCAGGTTGTTTCCATTCTTGACTATGTGAATAGGCGTACAGTGAATCTGAGTGTAGACATCTCTTGGGTATACTGATTTCATTTCCTCTAAATACATATCTAGTAGAGAGATTGCTAGATTATAACGGTAGTTCCATTTTATTTATTTAGTTATTTATTTAATTTATTTAATTTATGCCAGTCCTAGGCTTGAACTCAGGGCCCAAGTGCTATTCCTCAGCCTCTTTGTGCTCAAGGCTACTGCTCTACCACTTGAGCCACAATGTCACTTCTGGCTTTTTCTGAGTAGTTTATTGGAAATAAGAGTCTTACAGACTTTCTGCCTGGGCTGGCTTTGAACTTCGATCTTCAGCTTTCAGCCTCTTGAGTAGCTAGGATTATAAGTGTGAGCCATGGGCACCAGGCTCATTTTTTAAAATGTTTTGAGAAGCCTCCATACTGTTTCCCTCCATATGATTTTAAATTCCCACCACTAGTTTGCAAGGGTTGCCTTATTTCCACATCTTATCAGCACTTCTTATCATTAGTCTTTTTGCTATTAGCCATTTTTAGTATGGGGTAAGGTTGTATTTCATTGTGGTTTTGGTTTCCTTGTTGGTTAGTGATATTGATATTCCCTCATTTTCAGGTATCTGTTGGCCATTTATATATCTTCTTCAGAGAAGTGTCTGTTTAAGTCTGTTTTTCATTTTAAAATAAAGATGTGTGTCTGTGTGTGTGCATGCATGTGTACGTGCACATGTGCACATGCTGGTAGTGGGCCTTGAACTCAGGGCCTTGGGGCTGTCCCTTAGTGTTTTTGCTCAAGGCTGGTTCTCTATTACTTGAGCCACGTCCTCACTTCCGACTTTTTGCTGGTTAATTAACTAGGACTTGCCTACCTAGGCTGGCTTTGAACCTCAGTCCTCAGATCTCATCCTCCTGAGTAGCTAGGAATACAGGAGCCACCAGCCCCTGGGGATTCTAAGTGTTTTGTTTTGTTTTTGACTAAGCCATATTGTTTGTAATGCAGCATAAGGTGAAATGAGTCCCAACTTTGTGGCTTCCAGCGAAAGGAAGCAAGTATGTCACAGGTCACTTAGACACAGCTTCTTCCTTTGGTGGGGCTTCTAGGACCTGCTCTCCCTCATGCAGGCAGAGCAAATGAAAGCTGCAAAATCATCCATTAATTTGGGGGGATGAACACTGATGCTCCATGGCTGATGGTGCAGGCTGACATTCTTTTCTCTGTTTTTTTTTTTCCCCCCCAGTATTTATATTCTTACCTGTGGCCACCCCTCCCCAGCCACTACGCAGAACTTGCCTGATGAGCTCCACTGTTTCTGAGTACATGGTATAAGGAGACTTGGATTCCATGGGGCCTTGTTCCATTGCATTTCCACACTCAATAAACGACAGGGCGGCTTCAGCATAGTTCAACGCCTTCCCAAACTTTTCCACCTGAGAAGCACAATTAAACAGTGTCTTCCTTAATAATATAGTTTTAGCAGCACTGCCACACAGTTCATACACTTTATTTCAGGCACCCAACTTTTGAGTTTCAAAATTCTATGAACAAAGTGGAGAGAAGAAAGAAATAGACACAGTCTCTCTCCCTAGCCACAATTCTGCTTCTCTATGGACAACCATAGTACACAAATATTAAATAAAATGGTGTAGAAATAAGTAATTCAAAAAGTTTAAATACATTTTATTGTGGATTCCTGTTGTAATTGTTCCGCTTCATTATTGCTATTTCTTATTTGTCTAGTTTGTAAGTTAAACTTTATCAAGGATATGAATGTAAAAGAAAAAAAAGCACAATATGTGAAAGGGGTTGGTACTATGTGCGATAGGCATCTATGGGACATTTCTCCCTCAGATAAAGGTGGGTTACTGCAATTCCTTTTCCAGTTATTTTCTCAAATTACTACTAGCTTGGGGCAAGTGAGCAAACAGCTTCATGCAGAATGGCGCAAAACCAGGTAATGACTGTCTGCTGGGCTCAGAGCTTCATGGTCACTTTAGTGTCTGCAATCATTGTAATGGTTTAGAAGCTTTATTCCTTGACTCTCCAGTCTGTGCTAAATACAGGAAACAGTTAAGGCCTGGGTATCATCTTCTACATTTTCTAAGACATTTACATCTCTGCATCTCCTTCTTCACAAGTGTTTCTTCATTAACAGTTTGGACCTCATTCAAGAGTGAGAAAAGGAAGGAGAGATGATAAAACTCAAGGGTTTGCTTTACTTCAAATAAGACACAAAGTTGAAAAAATCAATGATGAAAATGGTATTTTTTTTTTTTTTTTTGCCAGACCTGGGGCTTAAACTCATGGCCTGGGCACTGTCCCTGAGATTCTTTTGCTCAACTTAGCAAAACTGAGGCACTTGAGCCATAGTGCCACTTCTGGCTTTTTCTGTTTATGTGGTGCTGAGGAATCCAGGGCTTCATGCATGCTAAGCAAGCGCTCTACCACCAAGCCACATTCCCAGCCCGGTCCATATTTTTGTGTGTGTGTGTACTTAACTCAGGGCTTGAGTGTTGTGCCTGAGCTGTTTTGCTTGAGGCTGTCTGTCACTATGACACTTGAACCACAGTTCCACTTCTGACCTTTGGGTGGTTAATTGGAAATAAGAGTCATTTATATACTTTCCTGCCCAAGCTGGCTCTGAACTGCAGTATTCCAATCTCAAACTCCTGAATAGCTAAGAAAATAGATGTGAGCCACTGGTACCCAGCAAAAGTGGTATTTTAAAATTCTCTAGTCATCTAAATTTATGTTTATTTTCCCCCACATCATCAAAGACAATCATAAAACAACTTTATATTCTTAAATTCTCATAGATTCAACCTGGTTTCACACATTGCTACTCTCTGTAGATAATTACATATTCTCAACTTGGGTAGCAAAATGATTCACTCATTAGGAAAAAAAAGACACAGATAATCTAAATACTACTCTCTAAACCTTGGCATTATAAAGTAAACAAATGATACCTTAGAGGACAGAAATATAGAACTCTTCTTAGCAAGTCAAATTTTAAAAAGCTTATAAATCAAATAGGCTATAAAGAAATAATTTTAGCAACACTTTCAGATTAAGGAAAACATTTCATTCAAAATTATTTTTTAGCTGGGTGACAGTCGTTTGTGCCTGTAAGCCTATCTACTCAGGAGGCTGAGATTGGAGGATCACAGTTCAAAGCCATCCCATGAGACTCTTACCTCCAATAAATCACAGAAAAAGCCAGAAGTAGAGCTGTGGCTCAAGTGGTAGAGGCTAGCCTTGAACAAAAGTCGCTTGGGGACAGTGCCTGGGCTCAGAGTTCAAGCCCCCAAACTGACAAAAAACAAAAACAAAAACGAAAAAAACAAGAAAAAAGAACCCATATTTTTAAGAACACTCAATACTGAGGCATTTGCAATTGAAACCCAAGAGTTCCTTCTAGATACTCAGGAGAGTACATTTGGAGAGAGAAAAATGTATACTCACAAAAGAGTTCAGTATGTAAGGCAGTTTGTGAGGAACTAAAATGCTAAATGAGGAGTCTGATGCAAATGAGATGGAAAGAAGGCAACAATTCGTGGGGCTACAGGGAGGGAGACCAAGGAAGAAATGGTATGATCCAGCAGGATTTGAGGTCACCCAGAGGGAGTGTGTGTGTGTGTGTGTGTGTGTGTGTGTGTATGTGTGTGTGTATGTGTGTGTGAGCTAGAAGCTCTGCAGGTGCACACTGCAGGCTGACATGAGCTAAGTGTGCTCAGAGGCTGGTGGGAATCTGTGACTGGAGCAGTGTCTCCCTCTTGGGAAATTAATGGATAGATAAGAATGGTAGGGTGGAACAAGATGATAATGAATGGATTAAGACAAGGAAACCTTGGAAGATGAATTTGAGAAGAAAATCTCATTCTGTTTTTAAAACTTTTTAAAATTGGTATTATTAAAGGTGATATGCAGAGCTCATTCTGCTTTAAAATTGTATGTTTTTCCTCATTTGTGGCCACCTATCAGTGTTTTTTTCAGATAACCTAAATTTCCATCAGACTCTGGGATTGTAGCCACTACTGTCCCTTCCATTATCTTCTTTCTGTTCTAATACTCAGTGACTATTTTCTTTGTTTATTTATTTATTTATGGGTCCAGTCATGGGCCTGAACTCTGGGCCTGGGTGCTGTCCCTCAGCTCTTCAGCTCAAGACTAGCGCTCTACCACTTGAGCCACAGCGCTACTCCTGGCTTTTTTTTCTTTTTGCTTATGTGGTGCTGAGGAATCGAACCCAGGGCCTCAGGCATGCAAGGCAAGCGCTCTACCACTGAGCCACCTTCACAGCCCAGTGACTATTTTCTTATAAGATGGTACTCCAGTGTACCTTGACAGTGAACTTCATGACTTCATAGAAATAAATGATGGCTAACAACAATAGCAGTGGGGATGAGGACTGTTAGGGCTCATGTATTTTCACCAGGAATAAAATCTTGGAAGTCATTTGATATGCTGCCTTCAGTTCCAGCCTCTAACTAATGTCAGTTTTGAACACTGGTTGTAGGGAGGGATAAAACTGGAATTACCAGATTGGAATACCCTTTTGGATGAGATCTTAGAATGGAGAAATCTTGTGACCTCTTTTTAAAAAAATCAGAAATTTTATATTTCTTGCCTGAAAGCTTTAAACTGCCCTAAATAGGAGGTTATCCAAGTAAGAAAAGTTATTCCTTGAAAACATCAAATCATGATGCCTTTAAGGTTTTACGAGTAGATAATAGTTTCTGTGTTGTACACTTTAGGGAAATATTCACTTTGGCAGATACACATGAAAAAAAGAATCTTTTCTAAAATGGGATTTGATTTTGGAACCAAGCCAAGGGTTGGTCAGGCTAGCGAGAGAAAAATCTAGATCTTTTTTTCTTTTAAAGGAATAAAAAAACCTACCACCCACTCACAACTTTGGCTCTAGTTACAATTCAAGTCTTAGGATTAAATTGAAATGTTCATCTGTCTTGGACTTTCTCCCAGTCAGACATTATTGGTTGAAGTCATAATTTATTCAACTATGAGCCCTTGATTATATAAACATTTCTCCATTTAACAGGCCCAGCCATCCTTGTAATAGATTTTATAATTACCCCAACTATATTGCCCCAGTGATGAAGCTGCCGCACAAACATAATTTGGATGAACGTATCTCACCATTGCATCCGCTTTATGCTTCATCCGTTTAGCTTCCTGCATAAAATAATCTGCACTGCGCGGCCTACAAGGAGAGAATATTAAATGCCATTATTGCTTAAGTGAAACAACTCTTGAAAATATACTTTTCTTTCACTCCAACATAAAACACAATTAAAAAACACACTCTGCTTAACATGGCATCAAGTCATTTTTTTTCGCACTTCCAAATTACTGTCTATATGTGAGATACTATGATTATTTTTCTCTTAAATTAGCAATTCAAAACCCATACAATATATGCAGATACTCTACATTCATAGTGGCTTGGACATGGTCCCCCAGTGCTTAATTTGTGAATAGGGCTTTTTATTGTATAATTTAAAAAGTGAAATTTTTTATTTCAGACATTTTACACAAAATGATTCCCTTTTAATGTAAGGATTGCAAGTGTATCTTGTAATAGACATGTGTGCACAGAATGTGCGTGGGAGAGTATTTATGCATCCTTGAGAAGTGGCTTTTCTACCTATACATGGTACCTATGTGGCAATTGTATTTATTTATCTATAAAACCTTACAGTGAAAGATGCAAGAATGAAATGCTATACAATTATGTTCCAGTTATAATGAAGTTAATTGTAAAATGATGTCTACTTTGTAACAATGCAAACATGCATGTATCCTCTAGAGTGCTGATTAGCTAGCTGGTAAACATTAACAGCAGACACATGCATTATTAAAGCAATAACCCTGGCCGACATGGATTCTTCCAGGAGATGAAAGTAATTCATCCTGAGACTGATTCAAGTGTATATAATGATCCCAAGTTACACTATTAAACTACTCAACAAACAGTATATTTAAATGCTTAGTTAGCAGATAAAGTCTTCTCTGTGTGTATGTTGGTCCTGAGGCTTGAACTCAGGGCCTAGGCACTGTCTGTCCCAGAGCTTTTCTGCTCAAGATTGTCACTCTACCACTTGATCCATTGCTCCACTTCCAGCTTTTTGGTGATTATTTTGAGATTAAGAGTCTCCAAGACTTTTCCCACTTGGGCTAATCTAATCTTTAGATTAGATCTGAGATCTTTAGATCTCAGACTCCTGCATAACTAGAATTACAGTCATGAGCCACTGGCACCTGGCTGGTTTATGTTTAATTTACGCAATATTTATATCCTTTTGGTGTCATCAACACGAAGGTTTTTGTATTATGGGTCTTTATGTGATCAATGAAGTTAGCTATTTATGAATACCAAATCTGAGCCTGGAATTCTTAACTTGGGAGACAGAATGCAAGCAATGATCTTAAGAAACAGATCGTCGAACCTAATGTGAGAAGCTTCTTTTAAACTGTCTTATTTCAGGTTATTAAAAGGTCTTTTACCTTACTATAATAATAGGTAGTCAGAGCATCCTTTTTCTAAAGAGGTTAAAATTCTTAGAAAAACAAGGCATATTATGACAATAAATATTGCTTATTTAAAGTATCATATTTAATCAATCAAGTAAATCAGTAGCTTAGAGCAAATAATTAGTTTGGGGTTAAAACTTGCTAAAGCAAGGAAACAGTGTAGTTTTTGGTCTTCTATTTCTCTATAAAATATTGTTGATAGTGTGGCAGCATGCTGGGATTGCTGAACTCCAGCAAAGAAGAGACAATACAGCTGTAGGATTTTCTTAATGTGTACAAACTTCCTTCACCATTCTTGCTCCTATTCAGGCCTGAGTCCTTCTCTCCCTCTTTTTTTTTTTGCCAGTCCTGGGGCTTGAGATCAGGGCCGGGGCACTGTCTCTGAGCTTCTTTTGCTCAAGGCTAGCACTCTACCATTCTAGCCACAGTGCCACTTCTGGCCTCTTCTGTTTATATGGTACTGAGGAATCGAGCCCAGGGCTTCATGCATGCTAGGTAAGCACTCTACCACTAAGCCACATTCCTAGCCCCTCTTCTCTCCCTCTTGAGGGGCCTCTCATTGGTGGCTGAGGCTGAAGGTTTCCTTTACATAAAGTCCCTGTTCTAAACAGCACCTCTTTTTCTAGTTCATTTCCTTCACATCTACACTTCTCCATTTAAACAGATTTTTAGTTGTCTTAATGGGGGGTAGATTTTACTTCTTTGTTTACACAATGACTTGTTCACATATTGATTGTTCAGTCTTTGATTCCAATTCTTTCAATTTCATTTTTTTTTTTTTTTGCTGTTACTGTTGGTTTGCTTCTGCTTTTGAATAAGCTTTGTTATTTTTTCAGAGCATATTTAGGTTCACAGCAAAACTGAGCAGAAAGTACACTATTCCCATGTACCCTCTGCCACACATGGGCAGCCTCCTCCACTATCAATGTACTGAACTGGAGTGGTACATGTTACAAATGATGATGCTACACTGACAATCATTATCTCCCGGAGGCCAGAGTTTAGTGCTTACTCTTGGCATTTTGTATCCTATGGACAAATGTACAATGGCACACATCCCCTGTTATAGTAGTATAAAGAATAGTTTTACTACCCTGAAAAATCTCTATATTTAGAGTTTATTTGTCTGTGGGCTTAATATCACCATGGAGAAGACCAGATTTCCACCCCTAGCCAAGAATAGACTCCTCATTGTCAGTGGTGTCCCAGAGCCTAGTTATTATCTACAAGAGTTCAAATATCTTCATTCACTTCGCCCTTGTTACCAAATGCTTTCTGTACTCATTCTTCTCTTTTCTTGAAGAATTTTTCTATCACCCAAGTTGGCTTTCATTATTTCTGTGGTTTTGGGGCCTCTTAGTTTGATTCCTCTGCAATCTATCCTGAGCTTTACCTCTTGAATAATGTTTGTAAAGCATTGCTTTCATTATGGGACCATCTTGCTTGCAGATCTATGATTCCCATGGCTTTTGAAGTCAAATCTCAGTTCAGGTCCCCAGTAATCTTGCCTAACTCTCTTAATCGTATCACTTATTCACTAAGGTCCCTTGGTGAAAGTCTTGATTAGTTTCCTCAGTGTGTTCATGAGATGACATCCTTGTTTTAGAAACTCTTACATCCTTTCTCCTACCTGTAATAGTCTGTTGTTTACTCATTCAGTGCTTACTGCATGCCTACCATGAGCCAAATGTTACTACCCTTCAAATTCTACCACCACCAGGCACATCCCAGTAGCTTTGGTCTATGCTCATGTCTGTTTTTCTGACCTCACATAGCACCTTTTATTTACATTCCACGGCTAGGCATTTCATTTCTGTCTTGCTTGACTAGGTTAGAGTCATTGTAACTAGGTAACTGGCACATTTTCGTCAGGGACCATGCTGTTGGCCTCTTTTGTCTTCACCATTTGGCAGTTTTAGGCACAGGATAGAAGGTGCACAAGCCCTCTCTGAATGGGACTGAATTTACTCTGAGTTTAGGAAATAGGAGTAGTTTCTAATGGGGTACAGCATCACAATCAATGAGGCACAGAACATCTCCATGACAACCTGAAATTCTCCACATCATTATCTGCTTCACACTCTAGTATATAAGTTAGGTCATTTTCTTAGTGTCTTGTTTCGTAGACCTGGTCACTAGCAGTCATTTTAAATGCATATTGTTCCCATGCAGATATCCTCTGGGTAATAAGCTATAACAGCTTAGTTTTCATGGGTCTTCTGAGTTACTCTTGTAGATGGCAGTGGCTCACAGTCTCTAATATGGGTTCTTTAATCAGTGCTGATTTCATCTGTAGCATACTAATGCACTTTTTAAAACCCGATATGTTCACTGAATCACAGACTCACAGTAGTACATGTAGATAAGTAACACATGTAATTTTCTGACTCTATTCTGGCAGCTACAATAGAATCTACCATGCTGAAAGAAAACCATACCATCTGGGGGCCATTTATGAACACATTTGTAAGAATTCTCATTTTGCATATAATGGAGGGCTCACTATACTGAGCACTGAAGATTGCCAGAAGATTGGCCTATTTTCTCTTTTGAGGTGATTTCTAGTGGCCTACTCCTAAATCAGACCATTACAAAGCCACTGGGACCAATGGGACATCACCCAGATTGTTTGGGATGGTTTGGATATATGTCATCCTGAAGGCATCACTTTCCACAGCATTCTACAAGTCAGTTGGAAAAGTGAAACTTCTGTCACTATTGTGGCAGTTATAGAATATAACAAAGATACTAAAATAAAATCTACTTGTCCCAGTGTTTAAAAAGATTTTTTCCCATCTAATCTTCTATACTTTTATGTGGAAAATCTAGAGTTTTTCTTTTCTATGTATGCAATAAAATTATTCACATTGCTTCTCACAGTGATGGTATTTTATGATGAGGCATGAAGAATCCTAATAAAAGTGCAATTAAAATTTGTAAATGTAACTGTGTATCCTGTTCTCTTCAGAAACAGGGCTTGAGACATCTGAAAGCCAGGATGTAACCACATGGTATTTTTGTTACAAGAGCTCTCTCTGACAAAAGGGATCTGAGGACTTGATCCAAAAAGGACATTTTCTTTTCTTCTCCTTACCCTCCCACTACTACCACCTACAAACACACAGTCCTAGTTATGAGCCACAACAGGATATGAGTGACCCCATATTTCTTCTGGCACAGGGGTATTGAAGCAACTTTGCTTCTTGTTCTCCTTGGGGCTGAGAGAGAGTTGAATGGTCTCCCACAGAGAGGCTGGCATACTCCTTTCTGTAATTCCTGCCTCTGTGAAAGGCCGCCCCTCAGCAGAGCCAGACTGCTTTGTGCAAACTGGCAGGGATGAGAGCTCAATGTGTTTGAACAAACAGGTTCCCCAGCACAGCAGAGATCTGGATGGTTTTTCTTAGAGAAGCCGAAATCCGAATCAGACAAAGGCAACACAACACCAAATAAATTTATCATCTGACACCCGACACCTGGGCTTGACATTTCATGCACCTCTAAGGTATATTGTCATGTCCTATGCCTCAGGGTGCTTTCTCCAAAATGAGAATGTGTAAGAGTGAAATAATTCTTTCAAAATACAGACTATGCATGCTGGGCAACTGCTGCACTACTGAGCTCATCCTCAGCTCCCAAGTGATCGCTATGATGGGACATTTTGGAGTCAGA